TGTAAGGTAAGACCGTATATGAGAATAGCAACAATAACAAAAACAGTGGATCAGAGTCGTCCTTGGGTACTGTATTGGATTCTCTAAAGGAACAAAACTGATGGAATGATTATATATGTACGTATGTATGTATGTATGTATATGGAAGTTATTAGAGTGGCATGGGATGTGATCTGAGTAGTCCAATGGCTCTCAACCTATGGGTTAAGACCCTTTTGAGGGTCAAAAGACCCTTTCACGGGGGTTGCATAAGACCATCAAAAAACACAGATATTTACAATATAATTCATAACAGCAAAATTACAGTTAGGAAGTAGCAACAAAATTACTTTCATGGTTGGGGTCACCACAACATGAACTATATAGAAGGGTATAGGACTGTATAGAACTGCATTGGGAAGGTTAAGACCCACTGGAGTAGTTCAACAGTGGCCAAGGATCCAGTAGTTGCTCAGTCCATGAGATATCGGCATTAGAATCTTGGGGACATCCTAGACAGCTGTCTATTTTCAGTCCATATTGGAATCCCAAGGAAATAGGTTCCAGCACCAGCTAAGAATGGCTCAGGAACAGGATAGATGAAATTGCCAGTGAGAGTGAGGACAAGCAGGCAAAAAGTGAATCTTTCTTCCATGTCTGTTTATGTGGGCTGCATCCAGGAGGTGTGGCCCAGATGTAGGGTGGTCTGGGTTTGGGGTAGGTTTTCCACTTCAAATAAAATAATTCAACCAAGAAAAATCCCTCACAGGTGTGACCAGCTGCTTGAGTTTTAGTTAATTCCAGATGATGTAGTCAAGTTGAGAGCTAAGAGTAACCATCAGCGCTACCTAAGGAGTCCCAGGCCTCTCTGGGCTACATGAAACCCTATTTAAAGAGAAAAAAAAAATGACCACTTTAATCACTGGCCACCAGTCATGTGTGTCACATCTAGAGCTTTCTGTGACACGTGAAAAACAAGTGGGCCTCTGACTGGCTGGGGGGCTGAGGGGTAAAGTGTGACACTGGGTCGGGGTGTTGGAGACTCTCTTCGTTACCATTCTATTGCTGTGAAGAGACACTGTAACCCAGGCAACCAATAAGAGGAAGCATTTAATTTTGGTATTGCTTACAGTTTCAGAGGTTTGGTCTATTATGATGGCAGGGAGCAGACAGTGCTGGAGCAGTAGCTGAGAGCTTTACATCCTGAACAGGCAGGCAGAGAGAGGAAGAGACTGAGCCTGGGGTGGACTTTTGAAACCTCAAAGCCCACCCCCCAGTGATGGACCTATTTCATAAGACCACACCTCCCAATCCTTCATCAGTCACATAGTTCATCAACTGGGGACTAAACATACAAATACATAATAAGCCTCGGTGGGTGGGGGGACATTCTCAATCAAACCACTACAGAGCTGGAGATAGATGAGTGGAGATGCCTTTTCACGGGGATTGGGAGGGAAGAGTCTGAGAACTGCACCCAACCACTGCAGTTCCTTCTGTTTCAGAATGCCAGAGAAAACGAGGAAATAGAAGCCTTCAGAAAATTTCAAACTTAACACCAGCCATTGCCACACACACACACACACACACAAAATGTTCTTCAAACCTTAAAGTCAAAAGACAAACAGGAGGAGAGATGGCTCAGCTATTAGGAGCACTTTCTGCTCTCTCAGGGGACCTGGATTTGATTCCTAACCCTTGCAGGGTAGCTGTAATTTCAGTTCTAGGTGATCCAGTGCCCTCTTCTGGCCTCCAGGAGCACCAGGCACACATGCATATATGCAAGCAAAATACTCATACACA